TGCAGAAAAACTTGCCAGCTGTCTACACTGGCCGCTTGAATTTCCGCAAGAACACTGACGATCTCATGTAAGATTGTCAGTGTTCTTGCGGAAATACTATTCTGCTCCTGTTCGGGCAAAAGACCTCTTTTGTGCAAGAGGACCAGTGTAGACAACACGGTATTGTTTTGCACAAAAAAGCCCCGATCGCAAAAATGGCGATCGGGGCTTTCTTGTGCAAAACCGCATCTAGATTGGCACGGACTTTTGCAGAAAAGCGTCCGTGCCAATCTAGACGCTCTTTTCCACAAATGCTTTTAATGGAAAAACTTTTCCGTTCATTTGCGGAAAATCATGCCAGTCTAGACGTAGCCCCTGAGTTTAGAGATTCATTAAAGATTTTTGCTAATGGATCTGCAATTTCATGTGCCAGTTCCTTTAATATTATTGGATGAAGATTATCTGGGCCCCTCGATATACTCCCATTAAGCTGTTCGAATTTGGCTTTTACCTCGGATATGCTAATATATACCTCCATATCCTTAGTCCCATTAGTTATGTTGCCATTATCCCTAAGCTTCTCATTAGCCTCATTAAAGACTGAAGCAAAGTATTTGTTTAAATATTGGGCCATTCCTAGATTATCCTTAACTTCCACTCCATCCTCAGTGATTAGCAGTCTCACTTCTTCATTTTTTGTTTTTTTCCTATTTATATGTCTATTAAACCTTTTTACTATTGGTTTTAACTCCCTTTGCAAGGTCCAACTCTACATGACTTTTAGCGTTTCTCACTTTGTCCCTACATGCTCTAACCGCAATAAGGTAGCTTTCTTTGCTGGTCCCTCCCATCTTCCACTCCTTATATGCTTTCTTCTTTTTCTTAATCACCTCTCTGACATGCTTGCTCATCCAGCTTGGTCTAAAACATCTGCCTATAATTTTTTCCCCTTTCTTGGGATACAGGCTTCTGATAGCATCTGCAACTTTAACTTAAAATAATCCCAGGCCTCCTCCACCTTTAGATCCATAAATTCTTTAGTCCAATCCACTTCCCTAGGTAATTTCCTTAATTTATTAAAGTTAGCCCTTTTGTAATCAAAAACCCTAGTCTCAGATTTATTTTTGTTTATCCTTCCATTTAGTTTGAAAGAGAATCCATCTTACTCTTACTGAAAAAATGAGGAAGAACGACTCTTGCGCAAACCAAGCTCCACAGCTCCTTTTTGCGCAAAAGCCTCTTGTGCAAAAAGGCCCCTAATTAATTACGCAAATGAAGCATGGCAATATGCTAATGCATGCTTCATTTGCATATACTTTTGCGCAAGAAGGAAGCAAGCAGTATAGACGTAGCCTAGGTATGTGGGTTACATACTTCCCCTAGCTGAGGAAGCGCATCCAGAGCTTCACGGTAAGTCTACACTGCAGAACTATTTTAGGTTATCGGAAGTATCCTGATATAGCTATTCACATCTATTGAAGCAGCCCATTGTTTCGAAATAAAATTTGAAACAACGGGCAGCTTTTTCTGACGTCCTGGTAACCCTCATTCCAAGAGGATGAAGGGGCATTTTGGAATAGTGAGTTGTTTTGAATTATGAAATAAGCTACGCAATTTGTGCAGTGCAAATTGTTTAGCTTATTTTAAGCTAAAAGTGCAATGTAGATACACCCTCAGAGACCAAGTTGAGATCCCTGATGAGCCCTGTCTTGTTACCATCACCTGGCAGGTCTGAATCTCAGACCTAAGAGCTTAGTGTAACAGCCTCTACCACTTAAGCTAAAAGCCAACTGGCTCTAAGCTTAGGTTACAGAACTCCCTTGTTCTTATCTCTTGCTGTAAATCAGGGCTACTCAACTTTGGAAGCCCTAGGGGCCACAGTGATACTCATAGCACATGGTGAGGGCCGCAATTTAAGTGTGGTTGCATATACATGTATATATATATGCAAATAGCTTCTTTCACACTGATGGGTATGAATACAAAGATTAAGGCAAGACTACACAACACGCAGGCCTCATTTAAGTCAGTTCTGCTGATATTAATAAAAAATGCAATATTTACCCCATTTCCACCCGTATGACAGAACTTTTAATGAGCAATGAGAGTCCAGGAATTTAACTACTAAAATGCATATCAACAGAAGACCATTATATTGACTACTTTTTTGTTTTGGCTCTTACCTGCGGGCTACGTGTTGAGCCCCACATAAACCCAAACTGCACCACAGGCTGCAAACAAACGGGCTGCAGGCCACATGCAGCCCACAGGCCACGTGTTGAGTAGCCCTGCTGTAAATGGTCTAAGTGCCACTACATGGGACAATGAAACACACTAGGGCTATGTCTACACTCGCAGCTTCTTGTGCCAGAAATGTGCAAATAAGGCTAAGCGTGGAATATCGCCGAGCCTTATTTGCATGCCTACTGAGCCGCCATTTTTGCAGAAGAGGCTCTTGCGCCAGAAAGAGCTGTCTGCACTGACCCTT